TTAGTTAATTCTAAAAAAGATTTTTGAAACTTTGTTCATCTTCAGCCAATGACTGGTTAGAATATTAATTTTGATGTTGATATAATATGAAACAACCTGAATATGAATCACTTCACCATGTGAAGTGAATGCATTCACTGCATTTTGTTTTATTCAATTTTGCAGATTATTATAACATTTAGTAGTTGTTGAATCAGGCATGATTTGTAAAGAAGCTGTGATTTTTTAGTGTGAAAAAAACATTGTTTTTATTTTTCATTATGGATTACCCAAAAATTGTGTGTTATATTTCTTTCTCATATCGTTTTCTAAAGAAATTTTATTCTGTTCCATATTCTAAGATAACTATTAATTTCTTTGTGTATTTTTGAACATATCTAATAAAACAGACTGAATAAATGATGTGCAATTTTTTTTCGTGACTTCACAGATAAGATTAATATTCAACATTACCAAATCAAATCATACCATAAATTATCCGCTAAGACTGCCTGTTACTACAGTTGAACCGAGCTACACATTGAATCGAAAATGTTATATATAATTTTTTTTTGGGTAGGCGGTGGTGTACTTCAGCCATTATCTAGAAAATAATGGGGTGATCATTTGCTTCAAGATCTCGTGAACTATAAAGACTATAAAATTTTGTAAAGACTCAATTACGTATTCACATGCGCAATAATAATTATTTTTGAGAGTTTTCGGCACAAAGAAGAGTAAGGTAATTTTTTTGATGGAAGAAAATTTTTTGTTTTTTGTAGGTTGAAAACTATACTCTAAATTTTTACTTTTTTTGACTTTCTCGCTTCATAATGAACAAACATACATCTACGAATTTCACTAGTAAGTAATTGTTAACGTGTCATTGGATTCGTGAAAAAAACAAATTACTTTTCGAGATCGCGGTAGCAGATTGAAAATATTTTGGAAATTGTGTTGATTTTGCCTGATGATATTTTTTTAACTTCATTAATATTGAATAAGTGATTGGTTAATTCTTCCGAAATACTAAGATATAATGTTGAAGTGTAAAAAATTGTTTATTTTTTGAAGGTATGATTTTTTCCTTAGAAAGGCAGTGTTTTCAAACACCCCTCCGGAATGCATCAATTCGTACGAGTTTTCTAAGAGGAAACTGAAACAAAAGAAGTTTTTTCTGTTGGGGGATTGAGTGAAACGTTTTAAACAAAAAATAATTCATTGAGTCAGTTGGGGTATAAAAAATGAATCATTATATGTACTAGACTTATGAAATAATACAGGGTGTCAATTTGAGAACTTCCCACCCTTAATATCTTCCAGTAAACAATATGAAGAATCGAAAAAACAGGTCAATTTTATTGTCAAGAGGGACACTTTCAAGGCTATTTGTAGCCCTCGTAGTTATGGGGGAGTAGATGTTACCCTTAGAATTCTAAATGGGAAGGGGGGTGTCAAGTGGCACATCATTTTGATTGACGTTCAAATATCGTTTTAAACTAACAGAAGTAATTATTAGTACGCTAATACTGAGATGCATGGTTTGACCAGAACTGGTAAGAATATTAGGTGGTACCGTTTCAACCCTATATTAAAGGTAACATTAGCCATTGGCTCCAATTAATTTACATCAAAAAGTAGCCTAATAGTAAAACGTACATAGTAGTAAAGTTGTGTTTAGTAAATGCTGAATTTTTAATTCTCATCGCAGAAAGTGTACCGATAGCCGTCCTTTTTTGCCACTTTTACTGTAAAAAGTTTCTGTTTTCAGGCAAAAAAATTGGTTCGCAAATTTGAACGATGTGGTAGTATTGTGCATACAGTTGTACCTGTTAGGCTGTCTAGTGATTACTTTAATAAGTGTAAAAAAGTGTGAAAGTGGTTTACATTCTTCAAGACAGAACTGAAATGATAATAATTTACGTGAGAAGTTAGACGCAGGAAGGACAGTTTCATCGTTCTACCTCGAATATTACGGAAGATACGGGGGTGTTTCCATAAGAAGTGAGACAAATTCGGACATTCCAGGACTGAAATTTAACAAATAGTAACTATTAACAAACATGGTCGAACATACAAATCTGA